GGTTCCACGTTACGAGCAGTATATGTATGAGTATTATAGAGTGCATATACTCTACAGGTGCGAGCACTCAGTTTTGCTCTGAATTTTTGAGGCTAGATGAGGATGGTGCAAATGGCTTTGCTCATCTTTGGACGACAATACTTTTATCTTAAAATTCAACTCATATGGAAGCTATAGCTTTGTCAAGTACCCTGATCTTTTTTTTACTAGCCTTGTATGGGGAAAATAAAGAATCCATATGTCATCTTTGTTGGATGGCAGGTTACAAATTCTACTTTCTGAACAGATATTTGCATTTTTAAGTTCCTTTTTTCTTCTCAGTACAACTTCAGAATATTCATAAGCACGTTCAATACAAAACAGAAATCACAGCATCACAGTATTTCCAAAATAATGATTTTTTTTTAAACATGCTGGTATTTTCTTGTAAGTAGGTATGACTAATTTAAGGTTACAGCTCTCAACCACATTCTTACAGTACTCTGATCGCTATTACTGAATAGAAATAACTATACATACTGAAGTTACAAGCTACAAAAATAAAAATCCATTTTGTTTAACTATAAAAATCTTATAAAGAGAAAATGGCTGGAGGTACTTTAAGGACTACAATAGCTGGTAGCAGACAAAATGGCTTTTGCAGGATGTAAACTTTGATAGATACTAAATGGAATAAACTCAACAATATTAGCTTCTACTTCCTCTTAAAAAAATAGAAAACAGTGTTTTATACCAAGATCTACAAACAAGTTGCAACTTAAATTAAATATAACAAATTACATGCAGCAATAAAAGCATAACCACAGTAAATAGGGCAGTATTAGCAATGAAAAGTAGAAGTTTGCTACATTCATACATTTAAAGAGCTAGGCCAGACACTGAGCTACTGTAAGTCTGCACAAGGTTACTGCTTACCTGAGGCATGTGGCTTTGCTCCAGCTAGAAGTCTCTCCCTGAGAGCCCCAAAATCTGAGTATTCAGCACTCGTACTGAGGTAAAGAACTGGGATCACATCCTGCTTTTGGAAGTGAGTACACTTAAATACGCATCTCCATTCCCTCAATACAGCTAATTCTTAAATGAAGAAGTGGTGCTCTCTTGTTATGCCTGTGCTCGAAAAGCTGGAATTATATTGAATAAGGTTAACTTGCTATAGCACTGTCTCAGGAAGATGAAGTAGACTCTAAACTCTGTTAAAACACTGTGGCATTTGCTATGTTATCAGGGTAAACTCAGTTTTTGTTTTTCAAGAGCAAGCACTTAATGCTTCTCAAAGTAAAACGTATTTTAAGTTACTCAGTGCCTAAAAAGCAAGACCTGAAAAAACTACAAAGGGGCAACAGTGAAACACAGGTCATCTAAACTGGTTTCCTCTACCCCTGCTATGAATTGTTCAAAGTGAAAGACGACAACCTGGGCCCGCCAGAAAAGGTCCAGTGCAGATGTAGCTCAGAGCCCCCTCAGGGCGCACGGGCAAAGCCAACCAAGCAGGCCCGGGCAGGGCCAGGAGCTCCTCACACACAGCCCTCCCGTGCAGGTCTCGGTGTCTGACTTGGACACAGACACACTGTGTGAAGACTGAGAGAAGCTCCAACTATTAATTACTTGTCTCTCGGAACACCCCTTCCACCACCGAATCACTAAGAGGGCAGGGGAGGATCCTTCAGTGCAGGGCACCATCATGTTCAGCCCACGAGTACCCTCCTCTGGGAGCAGAGGGCACTGCAGGATTTTCAGGTTTCCAATCTGTTTTCAGGTGAGAGGACTCCGTAGCTGTTTGAACAGGTGCTTAATGCCTTTTACCAACAACATCAAAAAGCACAGAGCAGTTGCACATCCACAACACACACAGCAAGCAGCTACAGCTATTTGACAAACTACCAAAGTGCTTTACTACTTCATTCACATTAAGGTTAGAATCTGGGAGTCCACTGCTGACACTCACTCCTTGCCACTGGATTAAAACTGAACCATCCCAACAGGGCAATTCAAAACAGGCTAACTCGCTCTGCAACACACTGAAAAGGTGGGCACACCTAGACCACAGGGCACAGTGCTGGGAAAAGCAAGATTTCCCAGATTCTAGCACTCATGTTTATGGTTTTTTTTTTTTTTTTTTAATGTTCATTATACATATGACAATACTTTGAGTTACAGTAGGATGACCGACTCATGTCGGATTTGAAACTGGATACTTCAAATTTGTAGAATATTCTCCATAAAATAAAAACAATGTTATTGGAGAATTTTCATGCCTAAAATGGCTAAGTTTGCAACTTATTTACTATAGTCACCAAGACTGACTTTATGAAAGACAGCCTTCTTCCTCCCACAAGCATGAAAGGGAGGACCTGCCCAATACACCCAAGACCGTTTACGGGCAGTTCTCCCAAAGAGCCAAGTGGCCAACTAGATGCTCCGCTCACTTCTCTTATGCTTCTGTAGAACTAATGAAGGATTTAGGTTTCCCAAAGACCGTTTCACACCTTTAGGAAAGGATTCCTTGGAAGATTCAGTAAGTGGGAGGATCTAGCCTGCATAAACAAAGCACCTGGGTGTTATGCTACCCAGACAAAACAGAAACGGAGAAGCTGTCTCATCTACTACAGAAAAAAGAGGCTTTTCAGAATCTTCATATTTTTTTTTCTCCTTAGATGCTGGGAGTGCAAAGACTGAAGTTTTGGAGCTGTTTTATGTCCTAAGAATCATTAAGTCTTTGAATAATTATCTGGTCAGGCTTAGACAGCTCCTAATTCTGACGAATAACTTAAACCAAGCAGCCAGCACTGTCATTTCTTTTGAGAAAATATTGCTTCTCATAGGACACACACTGCTTTTTCAGAGACTTGTAATTTGCTTGTAAACAACAGTTTATGAAAACCACAGCTTAGAACTTAAATATTTTTAGGATGCTGATGTCTAAGTTATTTACATAAAAATAAATTAACAACTTCTAACTAGTAAGATTTTAAAAGTTAATATAAATTCAATGTTCATAACTAAAAAAAAAAGATAATGGATTTATCTAACATCGCATGTTTCAGGGTATTTTATATACTTTTTATATATATAACTATTCATGTTCTCCATATTTACATATTATAAAATGAAGTGAGGTGAATATGGCTAATGAGCACAGAATTTACAAATGCCTTCTGCTGTACAATTCCTTACATCCAATCACATGTTCAGACATCTAAAAATTCACTGACAATCAGTAGTATTTAAGATCTAGCATGTACACTTTCTAGAACAAACACCATTGAGTTAAAAAAAGCTTTCCAAAGGGGATAACAATGGAAGGTTTTAAAAATATTGACTTTGTCAAGGCTTAAGTTATTTTAAAATATAAATAGTTCATTCACTGCTAATGCAAGCTTCTGTTTTATAGATTGTTGTAATCTTACCACAATCTTACAATTGTTGTTTCTTCTTACAAAACCTAGAAATACACCCTATTGTACCCAATGGTATCACTTTCAGTTAACATTAAGAAAAAAACAAGGGGGAAAAGGAAGAGTTTTGAAAGCAGTATTCAATGTTCAGATCAATGCCCTTCAATTTCCTTTACTGCCCTCAGCTTCTGCAGCATACATCCAACATAAACGCACCTCCTACTTAGAGATAACCTTCAGTAAATCAACCGAAATTAAATGAATTAGTGACAAAATTTACAGTATAATTCACAGCTCTCAGCTGCTGCAGGCTTAAAATAGCTATAGAGGAAAAAAAAAAAAGAAAAAAAAAGGAAACAAAAAACCACATCTTTTCTTCTGTTAATCATGAAGATGTTCTCACCTGAGAAGCTTTTAACCTGAGAAGCTTCAGATATGTCAATTGGCAGTTGGTGTGTACTGCTGCATGTGTTCTTAATGTTTACCAAGAATCAACTTTTTTGTGGCCATATATTTATATGGGAAATGCAGACCTAGGTCCAGCAAGGTATCTCCCACCCCGTAAGAGCCGATCACAAACAAGGGTGTTTTTTTTGTTTTCCCCTTTCCCAGAAGGCTAGAACCTGCTAACCTCTGCGAGCTCTACAACCCCTCTCAACCCCTACACTCACAACTGACATGGTTAACACACCAACCTGCCATATCATTTTCAGCTAATTACCATGAAAGATCTTTAGCAGCCCTTTAAAAGCACTGCTGATCTTCCTAATTTCTCTAAAGCCCTGCTGTGACTAAAAATAGCTGTCTTGTCTGTGGTCTCTTCCAACAAGCCTGCTTAAGAACCAAGACATGCTGCTTATTTATAAAAGCCTAGAATTGGCCCCTCATTTAATCGAGGCAGTCAGTCACGAGAACATTCAGTGCAAGTCACGACAGAATTATTTTGATGCTGTATCTTGGGTCCTGGAGGCCTCAGGAGTTCTCTACGTCTTAACATAGCCACGGAAAGAGTCACTGGCTAAAAGACCTTTTCCAGAAACCTCTTCCCCAAAGACATTTTCCTTGCTTACCTCCTTCCCAGAAAACCTCAGATCCTCCACACTCTTCCAGTCAAAGATACTAGCTATGGACTACTGCACATGCAGGTTCTCTGAACAGTAGGTCCCCATTCCCCATAAAATATCACAGGGCAGGAGCAGGCTCTTACCAGAAAAATCAGCCCACATCCTACTTTTCTGATCTGGAGCTGTTCCTGGGAAAAAGGGCAGGTGGAAGCAGGCTGAACTCCCCCGTGATCCCCTCTCTGGGAGCATTAAGCCTTTTGCACATTATACTGTGCACGTGCTGATGTCTGCCAGCTCAGCAAGGAGTATCTGCAGTATCTGTCCCTCTCCTGCCACTGGAGTAACCAGCTCCTCCAGCTAGAAGGACTGGGCACCACCAATCAAAAAAGGCAAAGTAGTTGCAGCAATTCAGCTGTGAAGGTTTTCATGAATGTGAAAGCATGGCTTTTTCCTCAACCCTAGTTTGTTCACAAGCATGAACCTTACAACATAAGCTTTCATCTGGATTAAATGTTCTCAGTGTTTTTAGACACAAACTTTATCGCTGTATTAAGTTAAGTTCTAAAAACCTACACATCTTCATCCGTCTGCTCTCTCAGGTGCTCTTGCTCAGAGGCGCTGGAAGCGTCGTCATCCGTTTGCTCAGCAGAGTGATACAACATCAGTGCGTGTGTCTTGTGGGTTATGGTGACAGTGCAGGGCCCCTGCGCCCACGGCTCACCATCCACCTGCATTGGCATCTTTGAACTCTTCAAGATCAGCTAGCATTGGGCAGAAAAACACACAAAAAAAACACAGCAATTCAAAGCAGCTTTGAAGATATTTCACATCTATAATGTACAGATGCTGTGAGGTTGCAACCTTACCACAATGTAACTTGGTATATAATTAGCTGGACCGAGGTCACCAACCACAGCAACAGACGCTTGTAAATTATGACGTCATTTAATTCCACCCACCAGGAGAAACAACCAGCTCAACTTCAAATTGAAATTTTAGAAAAAAGACTTGCCCAGACAGTTGAGCACTTGAAATTGTACCCTGCATACTGAAAAAAGTACAGGGAAATGCATTTATAAATACCACTTACCCTCACTGTATGTGCCTGCCCTAGCCGAACAGGATTTGCTAGCTTCACCTGTATCTGGGCACAGTGAAAAGACCCATACACTCCAACAACTTCCAGCAGTCCATCATCATGCCTATGAATTAAGAGACACTTTCCTTAGTGGTGCTCATCAGCTCGTAAATACCAGTCCAAGCACTGGAGTCCTTATCACTGTTGTTGAGGTCTGCCCAGCCTGATGCACTGCATACCTTGCCAAGGGGTAAGGTTCATCACCCATTCCTTCCCAGAGCCTACAGCCACCTCCCCAGTATCCAATATTCAGGACGATGATGCCCTCCAAGTTGGGCAGCTCGATTCTCTCACCATCCAACTCTAGCTTTAAAACACACAGAACACAAGTTAGTTACTGTGGATCAAATGCAGTACTTCAGCGTATGCTTATGACCTTTATGCATTTACTAGGGCTCCACTAAAGTTATCAAGTGAAAACACACCTCTGAGCAAAACTATTCATACAGCAAAAGAATACCTTCTTTAATGACTAAAAAAAAACAGCTTTTGGCCTCATAGTATGATACTTGAAGCTGTTATCTTGGAGAAAAAAGAAAAAAAGGAATTCTTATTTACAAGTCTCTGGTGCTAAGTCAAATTTCATTTAAGTATCTGTATTTGAACTCAGAGACCCATGTCAAAGACACAGAAGATCTCAGGGATCACTGGTAAGTTCAGAGGCATGAACTCCATGCAGTGAGGGGCCAACATCCAAAATCCTCCAGCAGATCCATCCAGAGCCATCCTCCACATAGGCATTATATTGTAGATGTGAAATGCAAAGCTCTTTCCCCTTCCTTTCACTGGAAAGGTTTTTACATTCCTTTAGTTGTTCAGAAAATAAATGGACAAGTTAAAAACTTACCTCAACCTTTTTGTTGAGATCTTTACATTCTTGTACTAAGCAGTCTTTGGTTCCATAGAAAAAGTAAACAGCCTATATTTATATATAAAAAAGGAGCATAAAATACTATTAGGAAAAAATACAGACATAAGACCATAAGACTATCTAAAATATTCATGTATAGTTATGGTTCTGCGAGCCTTATGTAAAATTCATGCGTAACAGAATATCTGCATATCTTTCAAGTTCTCTTAATGAGCTAAGCTACAAATCCCTTAAGAACCTTGTTTCCACTTTTAAAATGCAATGAGCAATGTCCCTAACCTAACCCATTTAGCTTCAAAGCAAACAAGAAGCTCTGAACAAAAATTAAACAAGCAACAGCGTAAACATAAACAAGCTAACAAACAGAGGCAAGACAAAACACTTGGGAATAGGCTGGAAACATGTTTAATCCATGAAATCCTCTCCCTAAGAACAATGAGTTCAAGCTTTTTTTAAAATGGGTTGAAAAGATGCAGTGGAATATAGAAACATATCACAGTGTGATATCGGAGCACATATTCCACATTGAAACTTAGGGCTAATAACAGGAGAAAAAAAAGAGGCAGTATAAAGGTTGGTTAACAAAGTTGCTGTGCAGAGGAAACAGATCACTAAAGACATGTATTTTCTTTCAAACTAATACAGTCGTTGACAAAAGGGAACAGACACTGAAAATCCAAACACAACAATGACGATGGAATTCTAAGACTTACTTGAAAGACCTTCTAGCATGCTATGCTGGAAAAAAAATCAGGTGGATTACTTTAACAAAAGCTGCAAATCAAACACCAAACCCACCTTATTAATAATTCTGCTGGAAAACAGAGAAGGAGTCTTCTCACGATGGGCATGGAAATTTAAAGCCATAAGAGCATCAGGTCCTATAGAGAAGTAGTTGTTCATTGTGAACACCTGTCAGACAGAAGTTTTAGTTAAGACCATATTAAATTTCGTATTACTAGAATTTCAGAATTTAGGGTTGTACTAGAAGCAGGTAAATAGAAGGATAAGTACATCCACACAGATATTCCATGAAAACAACATTTTAACTTCCAGCTATACCTTTGGTTTCCTTAAATTGTAGTATCCTTTGTTTGTTACTTGAACCTTCCATCTGAAAAACAAAAGCCATTATTCAGACACGTGATAACATTCTCATATCTAGTTTGTCGTTAAGATTCTCATATCTATAATGAAGTTAGAAGGTTCAGATTTAATTAGTTATGAAGAGTTAAACATTGTGAAACAGCTAGAAGGTGACTAATTTTGGACATAAGTAATTAGACAGTTCTCTAGCCAAGCAGCACCTGTGCTTCTTTAGACGTGCTGCTGTAACTGGGCTATATAACAATATTTGGTTATGTGTCACTCACCTGTCCAGTTTGATTCCATCTGCCTCCATGACATTTCGTAAGATTTGTTCTACAGGGACTTCTCCAGCATAACCCGCACCCCAGCCCAGTGTATTAGACAGGTCGTTGCCCGTTCCCAGAGGTAAGATTGCAACTTGTGGAATAAAGCGTTCTTGCCCCTGAGACACAGAAACACCAGACATTAGCTCTTTTTTTCAGAGATCAGTTTCTCTCTTTGTAATTACAGTGCTGACAATCAGTTTTCAGAAACTTAAAAGACTATAATTTGAACATTTGGAAGTAAACAAGAACCCAGACTGCACTGACTACATTAGCACTGAGGTCAATACATCAACTACCCAAGACCAAGAAGCCAAGTATTCACATTCATTAAATTTTATAATTACACTTTCTTGCATTTCTACTTTATTAGTACACTAAAAAAAACTCAAAGAAGTTCAATTCAATTATGTACTTGGGTGTAATGACGGCCTTCTGTGTCACATTTCATGTATTAAGAAGAAAGCACAAAAAAAAAGGTACTAAAAATGTAGCAATTGACCTGACCTATGGCTGAAATAAACCAACCCACACACACAGAATACATGATCTTGAAAGAAAACTCGCTTTCTTCCTTTATCCAGTAGGGAAAGAAAGCTCATTACACCAGAGTCCTACTAATTATTCTTTATTCTTCATTTTCTCGGGAGTCCTGACTAATATCCTGGAAATTGAGATACATTCTATTTCAAGCCTACAGTAAATACGTCTCATGCTTTTTCTCCTTCGCCCGCTGTAACAGGTAAAGCCACAGACTGGCATTTTGAAAGACAAACAGAAGCAAGCAATCACATCGCTCATGCACTGGCACTATAATCACCACAGTCAGCAAAGTTAGGAGGTTATTACAGAGACCGAACGCTTTGGGAGAAATAAGCAGTCAGAGCAGAATAGCTACTATTAGCAGTGTTATTCATTGCAAAATAAATCTTGCTTTAGAGGGAAAGGGAAAAACAAGGCATAAATGTTCTGGAGACTGTTCTTCTCTTGTTCTACGAGAAAGAACAGCTTTAAAGATATATTTAAAATCTTCTAGAGCTTTTCTATTTTTCCTGAACTACAAGGCTTCATAACAAAACAGTTTTCCCTCCTCCCCACCAATATGAACAGGCAATTCAGAGATTAATTTTCTATAGATTTATTCATTGCCATGATGAATAAATGCAGAGCTTAGGATTTCAGCAGTCACAAAACCCACTTCCCCATGAGAGATGTTTCAAGTTAAACCCAGTACCTTTATCTTCATTTCATCGATGGCATCCAGGACCCAGCCCACTGTGCCATCCCCACCGCAGACGAGGACCCTGACAGCATTGCAGGGCAGCAAGGTACAAAGCTGGAGTGCTTTAGCAGGGGCTATTTTGCTTAGATCAAAAACCTAGAATCAAGGAAAATAAGCAGGTCTAAGTTCAAAGAACGTGACTCAGGAACTGCCTCGTAGACAAGTTACTTCCAGTTCATTCTGATGGAAATCTGCTTCCTTAGGAAAATAATGGTCTGCTTGATTTATCAAGGACAAGTCCTAAAAAAAGTCTGTATCTAGTAACATTATAGCAAATTTTCTCAAGATGAATGACCTCAATCTTTTATTATTCAGAATATGAAAAGATTTATTCCTTATAGCTCTACTAGGATGCATTTAACACACACACCATGGTGATTTCTATTTGTCTGCATTATAAGACTCTGTTTTGAACTTCAAAGGCAGAATATTAAGGTACAGCCAGGAAATCTGAGGAACAACTGCCTCACAGCAACATCCTGTGCCATCCTAGTGGAGCTTAAGAAACAGTACAAAGCCTCAACTGTAAATACTGCTGTTCGCACAAGAAATGACATCAACAAATAAAAGTTTCAAATTTAGAAAGACGAAATACTTTAAAAAACTGTCCAGTATTTCAAGGATCAGATTCTCATCAGCAGAGTTACTATATGAGCTACTATAAACAGAAAGCTGCATCAATATCAGTAGAATTATCACAAATACTGGAGGGTGGGCGAGGGGAAAGTCACTGCAATTTTAGTTGCTACACACAAATCCATCAAAAAAGGGCATGATTCTGTTTCCTTTAGTGATCTTTGAAAAGATTCTACTGTCACTATGCAAGCTAAGTGATGTTGATTCTAACTTGAGCTTTTATCTTACTACAGTAGCTTTCTAACATAATTACCTGAACAGGATTCAGTAGAATTTTAAATTCTCCTAGTAAGATTTCACCCATGTTGTTTCCACTGCGAGTATTAACCAGTACAATTATTGGGATCCAGTGTTTTCTGCAGTAAGGGACTATCTGCCAAAAGATAAGAATTCAGTCACGCAAGTACTGCAAGAGTGAAAAATGTTTAAATCAGAAACAATCATTAGCTTGAAATAGTAAAAACAAAACCAGATACTTCTGACAGAACAACTAAGAGGACAGGCTTACATTCACTTCAACCAGTAGCAAAGTTGAGAGTTTCTGTTTCTACAGTACCTAGGAAAGTAGATCCTATGTTACAAAATAGTACAAAAGCACAACATATTAATTATCTGTTTAAACAGCTGCTATGTTTTTTTCATGGATTGTTTTGCTAGCTAGTTCTTTGATGCATTTTCATCAGCAATTCTTGGAAAGCACCTTGACAGATTACTACTTTAAGCCTAAATCAATACAGGCTTACAAATCCAAACTACAAAACATTACAAAATCGAGACGTGGCAGACAGTTACCTTTTCATAATCTGTTCTTTTGTCTTTACGCATCTGATTGACAGCAGATAAGTAGTACGGTGGAATAATCAAGTCTCTGAATTCTCCAAAAGTACACTCCTCATTCCTCAGAGAACTCTGCATGCATTCGTCGTGTACGGTCTGCTGGCACCACACACATCTGCAGAACAAGAAAACAAGAAACAAAGACCTCAAACAACTGGCTCACTATACTGAGCATCTATTTTATACAGAGTAACTTTCTGCAAAGCACTTATGCTTACTTGAGCCACGATGATAGTATTTTCAGCATATTAACAAGAAAAAAAATCAGAGAACCCTGTGTTGGCTACAGGTAATCATAAAGACGAGATTATGTTATTCAAATCTAGTAATTGCATTTGAGTTATATAAAGAACAATTCAAAGAGTTTTAAATTATTTCTTTCCTCTTAAATTCTAAGTAACAGTTGCTATGAATATCCCTTCATACTGTGCAAGTACAAACATCATTACACTGAAAACCTACGAGAAACAGAACTTCTACCCAGCCTTAAAAAGCACAGGTAAGACACCAGAATCCGGTTCAATCATTTAAAGTGTTCCCAACAGCAGTAACTGATTTTGTTACTGAATTTCCTTTCGAGGCGGCCGGCACTGCTTTGCCGTTTGAAAAGCCACGGGGCTGCAGAGCACTAGGCAGGCCTGGTGGCCTTCCCAACACGCACCCGCTCGCCGTGTGACCCAGAAAAGGGACCCTGGCAGGAGGCCACCCCGCGCCCCCCCGCCCGCCTCCGCGCAACGTTAATCCGCGTTTTCCCGTCCAAAGCCCGGCTCAGGCGGCAGCTCCGCGCACGGCCGTTGTTCCCCGCCGCGGGACGGGGCCCGGCCGCCCCCACGCGCGCTCGCGGCGCACCTGTAGTCGCAGAGCTTGGGCTGGGTGCCGCACTGCTGGCCGCACGCGCGGCAGTGGCTGCCACGGGGGCCGGTGGCGCGGGGCCACCGGGGGGC